TCCTAATGTTATGGAAAATAATGAAAACTACCAGAATTTCATGATATTTCTCCTCATTGTTGCGCTTTGTCTTCCGCTGTCAACTCCTTATAGTATAACTCGTTTCATCTCTATGATTTTATCTAAAACAAACTGATCATTTTCTATACTTCATAGTGTCATTTTAAACTTAAAGTACGTTATAGAGGAACTTATTGTCACCTTTTCAACACTTTAATTGACACATTCTACCTTTCATGGAGATATAAAGAGAGACAGAGTGAGAGAGAAAAAACTAGAAAAAGTAATTATTTCCCTCCCACCCACACTGCAAGAAAGGCAAGGATTACTTGATGTACATGACACAGTAGAACTTCCCGGTTTTATTTTTGTTCTAGATGGTGTGAATGAATGAAGAAAAAACTTATTTTTAACCAAATAGCGATTGTACTTCTCATTGAACAAATGAATGCACGCGTGTGATTCACGTGAGCTCATACATATATGCTGTCGTCAATCAGTCATGTTGATCTTATTGCGTGGAACAGTTCGTCCAGCTGATAGTGCTACGGCTACTGCTCTATCACACTTTCTCATATTTGAAATTTAAGATGCTTTTTTAACCTTTTTATCTCATTAAAGTCATTTTAGGTGTTTAATTTCAATTTTGAAAAAGAGAATAAGTTCAAAAAGCTCAAGTATACCACTTGAAAAGCCTAAACTCACAATTTTTGAGAGTTGTTTCTTGGAATTTTTCTTTTCTTTGTTTCAAAAATACGACTTATATCATATTTTGATTATTTGAATCACATTAATTACATTATATTTCATATAATTATGCTGTCTTCAATATAATTTTTATATAATTATAGATATGAGTACGATTAAGCTAATTGATAATGAAAACTTACTTGCATGTGACAACATTCATTTAAATTATTTTGATTATTCATGTATAGTATGATCTTACTTTGAGTAACTGCAACTCCTCACTTTCCATACCTTATACATCTTCCGGTTAATGGTTGTTGGTCTTTCTCACTTCATCTCTTACCTCCCACAGATCACCAGTCCTCAACTCTCTCCCCCCCCCCCACCTCCCACTTCTTACTCCGCATTTTTTTTGTCGTTCAACTCTAAGACTCTATATGATGCAACTCTATACGCTATTACTATGCCTCATTATTCTTTGAGCTTATGGCTCACCTAAAAAATAGTTTCTTTTTTCTGTTTAGAGATATGGCCATCTTCATTTTATCTTTTTAGCTATCTTTGCACTCCTCTCTATCTCTATCCAACTCTGCCTGTTTCTCTAGCACTCTTTATTCTCTCTTCTTCTTTTTTTTCCTTTCCATGAAGCTCCTCCTATTATTCGTTTTCCGTTGTCTCACCTGGCGAGGTTCATCGCCCTTTTCATCCAAAGAGCATCTATTTCATTTGACCAATAATTTACGTTTTCTGTCAACTTGATCATTTTTCTTTTCTTATGTTCTATACTTATGAAGTGAATGTTCAAACTTCTTTTTTTATTGTCCATTCGAAGCTCATTAATCTTTTTGGAGTATCATTTAAAATGTAGAAGGAAGAATCATAAGACTTCGACGACTACGACGATGAAGATGAGGATGGGGAGGAGGAGGAGGAGGAGGGGTAGGAGATGGAATAAAAGAGAGAGAAAGGAATCACAAATTTCATCCTGTGGCTTCATAATATTCTTTGTTTTTCGTCAAAAAGTAAATTCCTTCATTGAATTAGAGATAGCTTTGCTGTTATCTGATAATTTTAGTTTTATTTGATTGAACTCTTCGAAATTTTAAAATCAATCAAAGTTTCCGATTGTTTATTTAATTAAGCATCGTTCAATCTTTGTGAGACCTTATGATTGATATCATACCTTAAATAGACGAACAGATCAATCAACATCATGCTATTGTTATCGTCTACTCCCCAACCCCCCCCACCCTTTGCATTACTTCTCTCTCTCCCTCTCTCTCTCTATTCAAACCGATGTCTTAAATGGGGTAAATGATCAGCTTAGCTAAAAGATCAATATGCGACTGGTTTTTATTCTACAAAATGATAAAGTTGTTTTATCACCTATCACAGGAAGTGATAGATCTTCTTTCTCTTTACCCAATCTACAGCTGTACTCCTGTCCCCGAGAACCATTATATGTCCCTGCTTTCTCTCGCCATCTCCCTCCCCCCCCCATTCCACCTCTTTTTTTTCTCAGTGTTACCCATCCCTGTCCACCATACCATCCATCCCCTCTTCATTTTCTGTCCTTTTTCTTTCAAGCAAGCGCCCAGTTGTGATCGTTGACGTTGCAGTCTTCAATATTTCTTCACACTTTATGGTTTTGCTTCTTTTAGCCTTCAATTTTCTCGTTCTTCTCTCGCTGCCTCTCTCAATATCTCTCATTCTCACATTTTATGATTTTTTTTCCGCTTTTAACTGTACGTCAGTATCGTTGAACCTCTTCTCTCTTCATTCCCTTTTTAATCTATATTTGGCCATCAGGTTGCAGAGTATTCATGTTTTCTCTCCTGTATTTAACATCATCACAGTAATTTTATTCGAATTCTGTACAATTCTGTTGACATTTGGCCCTGTTTTCAATCGTTTTTCTTTCTTTTTTTTATGCCATGTTCTCGTCGTTTTTACTCTCTCATTCATTTAATGTCATGATGTTTCTCCTTTACTTCAATCAATCTTTGATCAAATAATCTTGACCATTTTTTATTTTATTTTTTTTCCAAAATCAAAACAGTAATTTCAACGAAGAGAGGATAACGAGACGACGACGAACGAGTGTTTAAAACACAAAAAACTTTTTTTTTCTTTTTTTTTATTCATGAGATCGATTTCTCTTAATCTTATTAATCCCTAAAGTTCTGCTTTAACAAAAGAATATTTATGTCTTTGATCTCACTTCCTTTTCATTTAGTTTTTTCATCAAACATCCTTCCGAAAATCTTTTCGCCGTTATGTGTGCCATACTGATTTATCAGAATCGATATGAAATTTCAATTCATTTTTGTGTCTGTGTCTGTGTGTATATGTCTGGTATGTCGTCTATCGCTGGATTTCAAGCACTTCTCAGGAAGAAGTCTCCACACCAATAACCACACCCAAAATCTCTCACACCGTCTTGTCCAATGAGATATTAGATTATTATTTTTAATGCAAAAGAAAAAAAATCATAATTATTCATTATTTAATGAAGTAGACAGTAAGAAGAACCACATGACCACATCTGTTTCCAATTGTCGCTTTCAAGAAACAGCTGGTTATCCAATTAACTGATACATATAATTTAGTCTCCTATCTCCCCACCCCCACCCTCTGAAGTTTTTTTTTCAAACTCTGCAAACAGTTCCGTCAAAAAAAAACATTTTTCTCTTTTCTCTCAGATGATAAAAAATATTTTTCTCCACGTCTCGCAAGAAAAATAATGTTACTATCCAAGGTTCTTGTCTGCTTTGCTGCCACCCGCATTTTTATATTCTCTAATCCTTTGAAAGCAAGTTGCGAATGCATTTCTTCAGAAAATCTCGTGAAAAAAAAGGATTTGGTGTCGTCACATCTTAATCTTCTATTCATTTATCAATTTCTTCCATTTACAAATAATATGCTTGAACAACAACGAAAAAAAAAGATATCAAACGAAGCTATGCGAAAGCAATGTGTATGGTCACGTCAGTTGACCTCCACCCACCTCAACAACTGCGTTTTAAAAGTTTTTGAGCTGCCGATATTTCTCAGACTTTCTTGAACTTTTAGCCATCCGTCTTGTCTTTCATTTTTCTCTTGGAAATTTCTCTAATTCTTCCATTTTCTCATTGTTTTCCTCTTGCACTCTCTCTCTCTCTCTCTCTCTTTTCCTCACTTTCTATCCGAGTCTTATTCTCTTCCAAATTCTCATTTTCCCCTCTTTGTCATTTTGTCTACTCTCTCTCTCTATCTTTTTCTACGATCATTCTTAAAATCTTGACGTCCAGCTAAAATTTCCTTTCAAGGAAATTATGAGAGGGTAGCTCTTCAAAGCGAAAATGTTCCGGTCGCCACTTGGTCTGCCATCCCAACGAGCAGTAGCGTGGGTGGGTGGGAGTGAAGGAAAGGCTAGTAGCGCATAGACAGTGCTCCATCAAAACGTAAAAGACGGAAAAAACTACGAGAAAGAAGAAGAATAACTACAAAGAAGAGAGGCAAAAGCCTTATTGTTTACATTGAAGATTGAACTTGATGACTAGACATTCAGACCCTCTTTCTTCTTGTCTTTTCCGGTCCGACTTCTGTCGGACAATTCCACGTGAAAGTGAACCTTTTTATCAACCTGATGACTCAAGTGAGCTCTCAATGCCTTACATCTGTTCTATCTATCAAAATATTTCTCATTTTTTGTTTTCTTCTTTCTCTAATCACTCCCGTTTGCTGACTGAGCTCATTTTTTTATCAATTTTGACATGTTGTGCACGAAAAATACATGCAGCTGTTATTTGCTAAAAATTGTCATTTATTTGAAAGTCTTCCATTATTTAGTTAGCACTCATATGATCCTTCTTATGATTTTCATTAAACTTCTCACCTTTTTCGTGTCTCCATCAACCCCTCGTCCAACTGCCCAGCTTCATCCCCACCCCACCAACGCACTATTCCCATAAAAATTGTTCATTTTTTCTAAGATCTCTAATCATTTTATGATTTCCGGTCTTTGCAAACTACTGATAACTATCCGAACCATCATAATTAATTTCTAATCCAATACTTCCGCTGCTCATTATTTCGTAAACTAACGAACACGTGAATAATGATCACGGTATCTACATCAAGACATGATTGCGTCTCTATTTTCATTCGCACGACATAATTTCCACATATGGCAGTTGGGCTTACAAGTTTAATTTTTCATTTGTTTTCTCTCTTTTCTATTTGTATTCATACTTAATCGACTCTTTCTATTTCTCTACTTAATTTCAACATTTCTTACCGTTCATTTTCAGTTCGTTCAAAAGCTGAGAATGGTGTCGACGTTGACACCCTCAACTTCCATACAGGATGAATGTGTTCGTGGGGAAGATTTGGAGAACATTCTTCATATAGATCCTGATTCTGTGTGTATTCTTGATTGTCGTGCTGGTGGCCCAGCTATTAAATACGCTAATCGGTTTGAAATCCTCTTATTTTTTTATTCTGAAATTAATTTTGTTCAGTGTTCGCTTACCGAATGTGCTTTTTCGTCGTTTACAACAGGGTTCATTAGCTTTATCGAATGTATGCCCAAGATTATCCTATCCATCGATTCGGGTTGTTCTCATACCTGGTAAGTCTAGTTGAAGCCTCTTTTTATCTCGTTTCTATTTAAAACGTTTTTGAACAGCCCACAGCTGTTCTTCATGCTACCACATGGGAATTGATATTACATGGGAGAATCTCATGAACATGTTTCAGGGATGGAAGTTAATGAAACTGCTATGTTGAATGCCCTTTCTAAAGCTTTACGGAAAGAATGTTTTATGTTTGGAATTCTTCTCGGTATGTTGCCACTGTGTTTTTCGTAACAGTTTGGAATTCCAGAACCTATTGACTCACTGATCAACAACTATCCTTCTCTCTTCTGTGATAAGAGCAAAGGTGGACATGAAAAATTCGCGAGTGATGTTGGTTGTCTTAACCTGAAGTAAGATTTTTAATCATTTTTTTGATTAAATATTGTATTATCTCTCTAGTTCTCTGAGAATTGAGCCTGAATCTCGAGCTGATAAGCGCCAAATATTCCCAGTACAAATCCTACCGCATCTATATTTGGGAAACGCTGAAACAGCCAGGAATATGGATTTATTAGAAACGTAATGTTACTCCTGTGGGACATAACTCAACTGACTTTTCAGATATGGAATTCATCACATTATAAATGTTACATCCAATTTGCCGAATGAAATGGAAGATGATGAGCGATTTAATTACTTGCGAATTTCTGTTGATGACAATAGTTCTCATAACCTTATCCAATTCTTCCCAGGTAGCTTTTGAACTTCTTGAACTTTTCTCATCTATCTCTTGCAGAAGCCATCCGTTTTATCAACTCAGCTGAAAGTTCCGGTGACGCTTGTTTAGTACATTGTCTTGCTGGAATCTCTCGAAGTGTTACCGTCTGCTTAGCTTATTTGATGGCCACGAGAAGGTAATAGTTCGCAAAACCAAATTCATTCTAGTTCCTCTTTTTACAGATGTACATTGGAAGATGCTTATGACGTAGTACTCAGAAGGAATGCAGCGATCGCCCCCAATTTCCATTTCATGGGACAACTCACCGATTATGAACGTCATCTCGGCCTGAAAAGTTCTGGTGTCGGGGTTAGTCCTTGCGTCCTGTTTATGTATATTTTTTCGAATTTTTAGACATACAATTCGGGACCACCGCGATCTCCTTCATGTTCCGTGGAAGCAGCTGTAACTTCAGGGCTTCTCACTCCACCTCCTACAAGCTGTTCTGCGTCACCACAAAGTAGTGCTCATTCGGCAAAAAGTTTTGAATGAGAAAAAGATGAAGACAAGTTCTGAGGGCTGTTTCTAAGTCGGTTTGAAGGAGAATATTGTAAATATGGCTCTCTTTCTGAATATCTCCGGGTTTGCCTCAAGTCCTTTATCATGACTAGTTTCACTTCAGCATTCCTCAAATGTATTTGGTTAGTTCAAAAATATTTTATTCATCATTTGTGTAACCCTTGTATGTGTGTAGTAATCTGTGAATGAGTCTCTTTTCTATCGGTCTGCTGTACATTTCCTCGAACCATTCAAAAGTTTTCAAATCATAATGCTAAGTCCATGATCATCTTAGCTTTGTAATACACAACGCTCACAGACCTCCATTTCTTCCCTCCTTCAACTCATTTAACGAATGGGTTAAAGGCTTTATTTTTTGATTTTACTCTACTCTTCTCACCTTTCCATCTCTTACTCCTGCAGGGAGTGAAGAAATGGATTTGTACAAAGTCGTTCATGGTCTTTTATATACTTTCACTTCTTATAACCAAATAAGACTTAGATAATTTGCAATATGTATTTCTTCAAGGGTATTTGTTTCATCTTTTTTTTTGTGATAGAACTAAGAGATCGTTTTAATTTCTCATTGACTCGTTTGTGCTGCTCTTGTTGTGTTTTATATAGCATCCAATTCTTCTTCTATTATGTAAGTTTATTCTACACCCTTGCAAATTCTTTCATACAAGTGTGCCTAATTTTTCTCATTTTTTTTTGTTTTTTTCCATCAGTTCAAGCAGACTGGTATTCTCTTCTTCTCCTCTTCCATCGTTTCTTTTTCTCATCAAAAGGTTTTACATCATACAAACTCTTATTTGATCTCAAAGTTTAATCAGATGAAGTCCTATTTCTTAAATCGGTTATGTTTGTGCAGAAAATAACATTTTCTAATATTTTAATAATTCCGTTACAAGCTGAACCTTTTCTAACTCGAATTTATGCTTTTTGTTGTCTTAACTTTTCTCACAACCGATTATGAACAGGCTGACAACAGGTTCGTGACGAGTTGGGGAACAAGTTGCATCAAAAATGCCTATCTTTGAATTTCTCTTTGTCGAGGTCTCCTCAATGTCCCATGACCTCCTTGCACAAACAAAATGTTTTATGATCGAGTCAAAATAAACTGTTGTTATGTTTTCTTTCTTTACAACATATTCCAATGAAAATAGTTTATGGAATGGAAATATCTACAAAGAAACAGATCTATAGAACTAAGGGAGAGACACGTATACTCGAGATCTTTTCAGGAAATGCTTCGTTCTTCCTACTATCTCCTTTTCTCTGAACATTCTACTTGTTTCTTGTTGAGAAGAGAGAAATTATAAAACAACATGATATGAAATGAAGATGAGATTAAAAGACTCAATATTACATGTTCGCAATCCTCAAATTGTCAAGAATGGGGAATAAGAAAAGAACATCAAAACTCAAAAACACTTAAGAAGGAAGATTGTGCACAAAATACAACTAGAAAACCCTTTTTTGATTGAAACAACGGAATTGAACAAGTGGGACACAAGATTTTGTTTTTTTTTGTTGTGAAAAACTTGGTTCATAATCAAACAGATCGGATTCGTCCTTTCCTGTCTGCAAATATCGAATTATTCTAAAAAGGATATTATGAACTGAAAATCGAACAGAAATATGAATTTAAATATTACCTTTTGGTGTGATAGGATTAGTAAAAGACGCATCTCGTATTGGGGATAGTAAACGCAACGACTGCACACGACCAGTTGAATTGGAAACGTTTGAGAATTTTTTTCCTATTTTGAGACCGAATCGTATTTTCTGTAATTTTTGTTCTTCTCAACACATAATATCCATTTCGTGAATTTCAAGGGCCATTCAATAACTTCACATACCAGCCGATCACATCGAACTTTGAAAAAAGTGCGTAAACGAGAACGGAAACTTCTCGATGTCAGGCAAAACAGAACAAAGTTCATAACCTGAATATGCTTATATTGATGACTTCATATGATCTATGCTCACTTTTCCACATAGGAGCCAGTATGTTAGAACAGTGTTGCCGTAGAACTTCATCCAAGCAGGACCATCGATTTTCAGTATCTCAATAATGAACGGAGTAACTGAGGGAGCCTCAAACATTTCGTTATTTTTCTAATTTTGTTATTTCAAGATTTACATGTGTAATTATATAACAGCTGACGATTGTTGCTACCGTTATGCTAATTTTACGATCTCGTCTCTGTCTAGCATCTTCCGTACTTGTACTTCTGCAAAATAAATTGTAAAATGTTGTCATGATCTAGTTTGAGGGAAGTTTTGTCAACCTGTAAACGGCTCGACTGAAGTTATGCTCCTGACTAGCATCAATCAAACGACGACTCTTCTTTAACATGTAAATAATACGAACATTCAGTATGGCGATCAAAGAGATAGGTAGGAAAACTGCCAGGATCATCTACAAAAGAAGATATTATATTCATTAACTTGTTATGATATTTCATTCATACATGTGCCATTTTGCTGATTGAGATTGGTCGTAACAGCCAGCCTGGCACATCGGGGTAATGACGTTGAAGCTGAAACAATGTGGCAATGATTGCTTCAAATTGATAAAATCAAAACTCACTGCTTCTAATGGATGAATTAAACCAAAAAGATATTTATTTTCACAAATCCTCGTATACGAGTATTGATATTCGAACAAATGATACCAGTTTAAGGCTACAGATCCAATAATAATTCCAATTATCATAAGGTGAACCCTCCATTTGTAGTTTCGCCGTCGATGTATCCGTATAGGATCTCGAATACTCAGATATCTATAAGAATGTGTGTTTGTGTGCACTTCATTGCTTGTTCAGAATTATTATTACCTCTCGATCGATATTGCTGAAACAAACCAGGAAGATATGCATAAGAATGCATTTGTTAACATGACTGTTAAGAAGTGCGTATGATAGAAGAACCATCTGAAATAAGAAGCTTTGCTCTGCTTACTCTAAATCTACGTCTCAAATAGCTCAACGAAAGCTTAAGGAAGAGCGAAGGAGTAAGTAAATTCCTTTCAAGTACATTTTTCACTATAATAAGCGATTATATGTATTCTGAAGAATCATAATGGAAGTTCAAAAAGTAGCTTTCATAGTATGCATGCATGTGCGGAGCATCTGTTTATCATATTCATGGGAAATACTCAAACTCATACCGCATTGTATTTTTTGTATAAAAATATGGCCAAGCAGCTACTACTGTAGTCGTCATAGTGAATAATAGACTCAAATCTGCTAAAGCTACGCCAGCAAAAAGGATATTTGCCTGAAAAAAAACAAATTTCATCTTCAATTACTGCCGAGTTTCATGGAAACACTTTGATTCCTTTTTCGACTTTTTTTTATAAAAAAATATTTCATTCATATTATAATTATGAATGATAACCAAATGGAATTAGCCTAATGTGCGTTTGTGTGGGCTCCACGCAACCAATCACGTCATTTTCAGTTTTTTTAAATTCGCCGAACGGTTGCATCGCTTTCCCGTAGGCATATGATGATGAGGAATGATATACATAGATGATGAGATGGTATCTTCGTTACTTACCACGCTCATTTCAGAGTTCATTGTGAGAAGAACACAAAGGTTGAGAACATTGCCTATGGATCCAAACACAAAATAAAATGGTAAAATATATCTTGTGGCGAACGTATCAATTTGTTTTGAAATTGAAATATGTTCCATCGTACAATTGTGAAGCATCTGTAATTGAAGAGGATTTCATGAAGATAGAATTTCTTTTAAATCTCTCTCCATCTTTGTTCAACTTCCTTAATAACTGATTTGGCTTCTTTAGCATTCTCAAAGTTCATTTTGGTCAGCGGAATTTTGTAAAACAAAAAAAAAAGTAGGAAAAATTTTTTTTCTGAACTCTCCTTGCCAACTTCGCAACTCTTTGTTCGAGCCACAATCTCGCTAATCTCTCTTGCAACCCTGATGAGAAAAAGCTTTTTCAAGTTCAAAATCTCATTTCTTAGGCATGAAGGCAAATTTTCATTCTTTCGTCTTCAAAAGCTCTTTTTCGTTTCATTAAGTTTTATGACAAAATCTAACGCTGATTGGGAGTATTTGCTCATTAATTGAACTGTCCGATCAGCTTTTGGGGATGAAGCATCGAGAAATTTCATAAAAAATTCTTTTCATTTTTAAAACAAAAACTTTTTTTTTTCTCACTCTCAACACTTTTCGAATATGTTTGATTAATAAGAAATAAAAGAGAAGAAGCTTACTCCTTTCTGCCGAACAAAGTTCATCATAACAAAGTCCAAACTACCCGTGTAATTTATGCTGAAAAAATCCATTTCTGCTCTGAGATATCACCAATGGCTTGCTGTGCCGCCGGAACTTTTTGTTTTTCTTTTGTATTTTCTAGTTGGAGCAAGTAAAAAAAATATTTTTTTTCTAATTTTGGAAACTAAAAATGTCCAAAATTGAAAAATCTCTGCTGTCTGAAGTTCACAAATTTGTAAAATGAATTAGAAGAATAGAAACGAAGGGGACATGAAATAAGATCTACACATGATGGCGGAACGGGCAAAGAAAACAGTGGCTGGATAGATATCAAACATTAGATAATGTTTAGATAATATTTAAAATTCATTAAGAGGTTTGTGATCATTATGTTTTTCAGGTAAATAAACAGGTAAGAGGTTTCCACTACCATTCTCCTTTTCCAATTATCTCTCTCAGTCTCTTTCCCTCTGTCCCTCTCTCTTCATACCATTCCCTCCTACTCTCATTTGCATAAAAAAAATTTGAGGAAAAGAAGACGAATGAAATGAGTACGAAAAGAGAAGGATTTCGGTGGGGCGAAAATAAAGACGTCTGGGCACAATACGTCTGTCTAATTGAGCATCGAAACTAAAAAAAACTTTTTTTTTTTCAAAAAGATATCAGATTCCATGAGAGAATTTTTAAATCGTCAACGATGGCTAATTGTATTGAAGACAAAATGACAATGTTTAGAGACTAAAGTTAGACTGAACTTAACAACATCTTCATGAGGATTTCCCTCTTGGACGACAACCCAAAGTGAAAAAACTCAAAAATGCTCTGAGTGACAAGGTTTTCAAGTGATTAGAGACGGAAAGCTTTGCAAAACGTTTAAGATGTTGTAGGAGAAATTAGGAAACTAAGTTCATGTTCCATATAAGGGAGATAAGCTGAACTTCTTATCGAAAGATGACCATGGCTTCATCAAGCTTAAAACTTGTGACTGGTAGAAAGAGATGAAAAAGACGACGAAGCAGATGAATTTAAGCACAAGCTTAGAAGAAGAACGAGAAAGAGACGAAGATGAAGAAGAAGAAGAAGAGAAGAAGAAGAAGATGTAAAAGCTAAAGGGATATCAAAAAGAGAATAGAAGAGAAAGAAGGTGAAGAAGTTAATTTTCCTAAATAGATTTTACACAAAAGATCTTTCAGAGGGACATACCATAAGTAATACTTAATGATATGCACAGAATATTCTTCATCTCTTTTCTAATCATCTCTTTCTCTTCTTCTTCATCCATAAGTCTAACAGAGTATTTTTTCAGATAAATTTTCAAAAATCTTATTTTTTCAGTTTACTGCTCAAACAAACGGAATAAGGGAGGGAAGGAAGATTAACTCGTGGATAGAAGAAGAGAATAATGGTGGCAGAGCTCTTCCTTAGTACTATCCTCGAAAGGTCGCTCTCATAAGATCGAAGACTGTTCGGAAATTCGCAATTTGTATGCAAAATTCTCACAAAATAGAAAACAACTTCAAAAAAAAATCATCTCTCTTCCTTCCTCTTTCTCTCTTTCCTTTCTCTGGCCATCTGTATCTCTCTATATCGGCACTTGTGACTTCAAGAACTCTTCTCAGAACCTTTTTTTGACGAAGTTCACACCCCACACAGAAATAAAGTTGAAGAAACAGAGACTTCAGACAGCATTTTCATGAATTTCAATTGCAAAGTAGTATTTGTTATTTTTAAGACAAAGCAAACGGGTGCGGGGGGAGAAGAAGCATCAAACATACCTTTGTCCCCTGGCCGAGGTCCTAAATCAATGTATGTTTAGCAGGAGAACGGTAATGACGTAAACTTACATGATAAATCCAAGAAGGAGGCATAGAATAACCAAATTCATTGAGAATGATTATGAATTTGAATTGAAATCTATTCGAATTTTGGAAAAATTTCAAAATCTGAAAAGAACCGATTGAATTCTAAAAATAAATCTTTTATAAACGAATTAAGCAACAATTGGTATGTTTATAAGATGTATTCTCTGGAGAAATAAGTTATCAACTAAATATAATCAGTTAAGTTCCAAAAAAGGAGTTACAAACTATATAAGTTACATAAACACATGTCATCACTATTTCTTAGCTTTGCATCAAAAATATTTTTCGCTTTCATTCTTCATTCCTTAATAACTGTTCAGTCTCTTTAGCTCATCCATAAGACGGAATAAGATAAAGAGCGAATTGAACACGTATAAAGGGTTCGAAAGAGGATAAACAGCCAGATAAGATGTTATACAGGTTCTTCAGCTTGCGCCTTGATAGAAAAACTAATTTGGGTTCTAAAAAAAGATTTGTAAGCCAAGTATGTTATGGCGTTATGTCCATGGCTTCAGATTTTAACTGATTAAAGGGAATTTCAGAATGTTCAGGTGAAGTGTGGTCACATATCATAATTTCGGACAAATGACATGGTAAAAGAGATTAGCTGACCAGATTTACAAAAGCTTAACTAGAGCGTTCACCAAGATGGATTGTGTGAGAGGAAATGAGGAAGTTGAGGTAGAAAACAAAGGATCATGATGAGAACACACTACAGGAGTAACAGAACGTGTATCTTGAGTGGAGAAGAAGAAGGAATTGTTTGTAAGTGCAAATGATTTGTCAAAAATTCAGATACATTGGGATGTTATAACTATTCACATAGTGAGTGAAAGATAAAAAAGAAAAGTACAGTATATCTGTGGGAGGATCAGTCCCACTTCGGGACCAATTAATTGGAAAGTTTGCTTTTGAAGTCCGTAAACAATTGTTGAAGAAAAATTTTTTTAGAGCAAAATGACCTGAATGATGATGAGTGTGAAAGTTGTCTAAAGATAGAAGCCTGAGTGAGCGATTAGAAGATAAGAGTTGGATATATATAGAAAACAAAGATCTTCGATATTCTCATCATTTGATTCGTAAACGAAGTAGAAGCTGAAAGAACAAAACCATGAGACTGAACGATGAGGAAGTTGTTAAAGTGGAAAAAAATGAGAATTCTCTCTCTCATTCAGTCATGTTAACAGCTTATCCATCTGACACCTTTTAAGCTTAATTATGCATGAAAGAGATGTTGCAAGCAAAACTAAAATTAATAAAAGAACATATTAAGCACAGAAGAAAGTTGGATGATTGACGTCAGATAGATTTGTCTTCATGTTTTTGAGAACTGAAGCCCAGAAGGGAGGTGAAGCGAGAAAAAAAAAGTTGTGAAGAGTAATGAAGAGAATGCAATGCAAGAGGGCGAAATATGAAAATGTTACAGAATATATATGTTTCGAAAAAGTTAAAAGATATATAGAGAGAAAAGTGAAACTTACAGATACAGAAAGTGAGATGAAGTGAATGAAATAGAGATTAGAGAAATGAAAGAAGAAGAGATAAGAATTGAAAGAGATAGAAGACTAGAAGGCAGTACACTCGTCAGAAAAGGAAAGAGTAGGAGAGGAAGAAATATCAACTTCCACATAAACTTATTCTCATCATTATCGCAGCAGAAACTGTCATCCGGAAAAAATAAAAAATAAGAGAATATAGAGATGTTGAGATATTTAGAATGATCAAAGCCTTTTGTCATCAAATTGCATTCATAATTTCATCAAAATCTGAATTTTGATTCCAATAATTTACGAAATTGTTCGAATTGCAGTAAGTAAATGAGAATTTTTAGCGAAAACCAGGATTGAGTGACGTTTATTTTTTTTTCTTCTTCTCTCTTTACCCTCTTTAAATTCTCTCTATCTCTTATCCTTACACCATTCCACTCTCTCTCTCTCTATCTATCTCTCACTCTCTCTATCTTTTTGTTTCTTTCGGCTAAAAAAGGGTTATAAACGATTAGGAGAAAGAATAAATAATTTTTTTCTCCAGAACGAAATAAGCATTTTAACAAAGCTGAAACGGCTTAGATGAATCAAATGAGGAAATATAATGTTTCCAATAAAGCGGAAAACCCATTGACCCCCCCCTCCATTCAGCATTCCCTTCTCCCTCCTCTCTCTATTCCGAGCTAACTGGTTTGGTCAGAGCCGAAAAAGGAAGGTAAGAATCTGACTTCAAACTTTGTTCAAAAACTATTTTCAGGTTGACCGATTCCGTGGGCCGTGGATTAAATTAAAATTTCGCCTTCGCTCCTCTAACGCTTTGCAGATGGTTCATAGAATGCATTTTTGGCGTGGATGAGATTGCAAAATGTAAAATTATTCGAATCAAGAAATTACAGTTTAATTGAACAGCTGATAGATCGTCCAAAATGAGAATTGCCGTCTTAATGAGGATTTGGTGGGGCTCCCCCTCGTTCTCTCTCCCCCGCTCGCTCGGATGGAGACGAACGTTCCGAAATAAAAATTAAACTTTAAATCTCTCAACAGAACAATCATCCCGAAAATGAGAAGATGTAACAACAAACATGATGATGAAGAGATTCGAGAAACTCATTGGTAAATGGTTCAAGATGGAAAAGACTAGGAAGAGTATGGAGAAGAGGAAAACTATGAGTTCAACCGTTTGCAACATCTTCAGGAAAAATGGAAAGAAGACGAACACATTTGAAGTATAGCATAAACAGTAGAATTAGAATAGACGTTGAGCGAAATACCAGTTATACGTGTGAAATGCAAACTCAGCAACAATCGACTGAAGCGGAAGCTCGACTGTGCCTAAGTAACAGAAAACACAAAGTGAGGGTAAGAAAAAGCAAAAAAATGTGATAATTAGTATGATTAGAATATCGATTATTACTTTAAAAGTTGACAATATGCAATAGATATGAATGATTACAGAGATGCAGTTGGAGATTGAACTATTTTCATTAAATTTAATGAGGGTGTCAGAAGTTTAGAAGTACTTGTGAGATGTAAAACTTGAGATATACATACTTCGTTGAGAATTGAGAGGAGGAGGGAATTATACAATCTCAAATCATTTCAAACGAAACGAAAGGTAAATGAAGAAGAAAAAGATGACGAGACACAGAGAGAGAGGTAATGAGCCAACCGAGAAAAGAGAAAAAACTTTTTTCTTGGAATATACGCGTGCACACACTCGCATGAACGGACAACCGCTATCACATGCAGATACCGGCACACATAGAGCTTTCGGCTCATCCGACAGCACAGGGAGGAGATGAGATAAGCAATTGAAATTGGAATGATGATGATGATGACGCGCATTCTAGGTTTCAAAAAAGAAGAAAATCACACACAAAAATGTAAATTAAAAGCTGCACATGCATCTCTCTAGCGGTCGTTTGCTCCATCTTTCTCTTTTTCTTCTTTTTTTTTCTTTTTTTTTGTCTTCTGCTTCTTCTTCTCTTTTAAGGAGTTTTTGGGTTGCGTAAAATGATCAAAAGACGAAATGAAACGGAAAAATGTGAAAATGTAAAAGAAGGATATGTTATTTGTCTGCCATCGTAAGGCTTAATTAGGCCAATGAGGATGAAAATCATACGATAATCTCAGCAAAATATGCTTCAAACTCTAATTGAATGAGCAATTCTTTTTTTTTTTTTTCAGAGATGAAAAATGTAAATTTGACTAAAAGTTACTTCTTTTTTTCTTCTTCTCTTCCTCCTCACCGTTGGTTTTTCTGTTGTTAATTCGTTCCAGCCGTCTACGCTTGATCTGACTCTTTACTTTTCAATTTCGGTCTCAATTTTTTTTTCAGATTTTCTTCACTTCAATGTTTGGTCCTGCGATGTGCCGTTTTGTAGTTTTTATAATCGCACCAAAAATGCCCTCAGGCTGTGTGGACTTCCTAATTCACAGATTCGACCTGTTGAAATATGAGATTAGCATAAGTCACACTCATTACCAAGATCACATCAGTAGTGAGATTCAGAAAATATCTGAAGATGATGACGTCAAGAGTTGACACGCCGAAGTTAAGAACTGATTATAGTTATTGAGAGATTTTAGAAAAAGTCATTACAATCAAGATCAGCATTAAGTAATGGAATGGAAGAAGTGAAGAATATGATCATCTGAAGACTAACAACCAAATAAATGAGAAAAAAAATGAGAAGAAAATTTCTGTGCAGTGACGTAAGAGCATATTAGGCTATCTGAGTATTCGATGAAGCTTATTCGGTAGAAATGGATAGAATGGCAGAGCATGAAGAGGAGAAGCAGAAGAAGAAGAAAACTTTTTTTTTCTTTCTTCTACGATCGTATCATATCGAAGAAGGAGAAGAAGAAAATGTAGATGAGCTAGCTTAGCACACTCAAAATTATATTTTTTAAAATGAAAAATGCAAATGTGGAGCAAATGAAACTGCAAAATAGAGTGACCGCCAACGAGAATGATGAAAAGCTTGATGATGATATGTCTGTTTCGTTTTCACTCGTCCACAACGAAGTTTTTGAACAAAGAAGAACCTCAGACAGTTTACTATATCATTTGAAAAATAAAAATTCATTTCAATCATCTCTACATTGCCATATATGAGTTTGATAGAAAATGAGAATAAAACTGTGCTAGAATACAATAAAAACGAAATAAAGATAGAAAAAGGAAAGCCGCTATGCTGATGTAAGCTGAGTGTGAAAGCATCAAACCACCCGTTCGTAAGAAACTTTCAACTGATTTCAAAATCAAATTGGCCGCATCAAAGATGATTTCATACATTTCTTGGTAGAAACAATTATTTGTTTAATAAGTTTAATTTAAACTTTAAAACTGCGAGATGGAAGTAAGGAGAAACAAAAAAAAAGTTTCGAAAGGAAGGGATTTTTCAAGACATCTGGTTAACACAATAACGTTTGGGGAGGAGGCATCTCTTGTCCATCATGTTGAAGCTTAATGCAAGCCAGCTTAATTAGACAACAACTTATTGTCTATACAAATATAGTATTACTCTGATCATTAAATCTTTTTTCTCCTCCTCTCACTCTTCTTCTATTCTTGATTCGCAATTATATATTTGAAATGGCAAGTAGCTATCATCATGAACTATATTAATTATTAAATATCTTTTTATTATTATTTTCTCTTCATATATATTTGTGATGTGTGATTTAAGGATGTTAATTCACATAATTGGCACAATAGCATTCATCGTTGTAACGATGTGGGCAAATCGAAAAATAAAAATGAAATTATAAGATATGGCGAACCTTAAACATACTTACTACTTCTCCATGAGCACACATCTAACTATAGATAAAAAAAAAAGAAATGGAAATGCTTAAAAGAGACAGAGGGAGATCAAGGCATAAGAGAGGAGCGAGGAAAGGAAATGCAACCGGTCATCTTGTCTGCAATTAAAACAAAATGAAACACATACGCGTGAATATCCACGTGACGTAAAAGCCAATTATTCAAATTTCAGTTCTCGTATGCAAATTAACCTTCAAGACCATCAGACATTTTTTTATTTTCTGTTTGTTTCATCTTGTCCATCTCGAAAGCCATATACACGCGTAATGGACATTCTCCTCCGCTTTCTCGTTAAGTATTTTGAGCTCAAAAAAAGGGGGAAAAAACGGAGAAAGAAAGGAAAACTTTCGAACTGAGAATTTGCTTTATTACTCATTTCAGCGTGTAAAATTATAAAACAAACTTATGATTTTGATAGAAAAACGAACTAAACAATTGATTCAGCTGGACAAATAGCATTACATAGGATGGAGATTCATTCGTAAGATCCAGTGTTGTAGCAAATGAACACGTTTTGAATTCTTTCCTTTTTTAATATTTCTGCTTGTTTTAAAATTAGTTCAAGATATTCTTTTTTTAGGAAGATGATAAGCTTCCTGGTGATATCATTATCAGTTGTTCTTATTGGTGAGGCAGCTCCATCAACGTCATTTCCACCACAAGCTAATCTCACATGTTTAGTGAAGCCTCGTTCAAGTAGATCATCTATCCGCATTGGTTTGAATCAAGCAACTCTCTTTTGCAGACTGTTTTGCTGGCAAATGCCCTTCTGAGTTTACGTGTATTGATAACTTGTGCTGCAAGGATACCGATATCCTTACACAAAGTAATTTTTTTTTTCATAAAATTAGATAATCAAATTGGTATTTCTAGCTCCAGACTGCACTGATTTTCTTGAAAATTGTGAGTCTATAAACTGCCGTCATCGTGACTTCTATGATTTCGCTCGAGCCAATTGTGCATTAACGTGCGGCTTCTGTGACGATAAGCCACTGGCTCCACGTAAGTATTGATGAGAGATGATATAATGAACAATCATGTGTTGAAGAATACAACTGTAACGACATATTGGATGACTGCAAATCACGAGTTCAGCTGTGTCAAGATAGAGAATATAAGAGCATAATGAACCTGTACTGTCCACGTACATGTGCAACATGCAACTATTCCGAATTTGATGCTTCTCAATGTGAGGACACGTTCACTGAGTAAGAAAATTTACTTTTTAGTTTTCGAAAAAAAAAATATTATTCTTCATCATTTGCTAATAATTATTTAAGTTATTGTCAAAATATTTTTTATTTTTCAGCTGTGCTGAGAGAGGACAAAACTTTTGTGATGATGCCAAGACTTCGCTCTATCAGTTAACAGTTGGATGTGGAAAGTACTGTAATGCCTGCTGAATAAATTGTTGACAATAAAGGAAGTTATTGGGATACGAAACAAATCCATACCACCCGTGGAAAATCATACTTTGAATAAAAAAAACTTACAGATCCAGTCTAAATAAAAAAAAAATATTTCCATTCGTATCTTGCTTCTCTAAAGCATTTTTATTAGTTATTAGACAAACATCATTCAATTTAGACTGATTTTCTTGAAATTTTCCAATCCGTAAGATATCGGCATCTCTGGCGTTTACTGCTTCACCAGAAAAGTTCAACTTAACATCTACCATATGTTATCAGCAAGTTGTTTGAAGTTTTTTTTTTTGTATTTATAAGATTACGGTGGGTAATACACCTTTTCGGACCTGAATAACGCCCGTCTGAATATATCCCCTGTGCCCCGAACGACTAAACACAGTAAAGCTGAGAGAGTTTAAAAACTGAAAATTTTATTCTTCGTTATTGAGATCGTGAAAATGTAACCAAAAGATAAAAACAAATGAGATTTGTTCATAAAAGTGAGACAATAGATGTACAGGAATGTAGTAGACACACTGATGACAAGAAGGCAATTAACATATGAGAATGAAACAAGAGAGATAAATAGAAAAACCAAAAGATATGAACAAGAATACTCGTAAGTACAAGAAGTTGGTTGTTGTTGTTGTTGTTGTTGCTGTTGTTGCTTGTTGTTGTTGGTAACGTCTTGAAGATATATCCTATCTGATGATGTTGCTTGTTCATGGGCAACCTTCACACATAATCTGATGTTTCCTTTTCTAACAGCTTGCCAGAAAATTCATTTGTTGATATTTGGCGGAACGTTCCATTCATCGCAACCACCGTACCTTTGCGTTCGTTCTTAAAGAAGAATTATTATTCATTTTTCAAAACTTTTTTTTTGTTTCAAATAGGGTTTGTGCTTAATAGTGAGAAAACAATATTTTCTTTTATCTGAATGACGTTGTGCAAATAAGAAAGTTGTTCTTTAATCAATTCGCCCACTAAGAATCAGAAAAAAAATAGAATTCAGATATTCGCTCATTCGCTTTCTCCCTCTCTTTCTGTTCACCTTGCGCTCGTTGGCTATTTCTTCGTGTTGCTTAGCCTCCTCGTGTTTCCCTCACTTTACTTTATTTGAACTTGTCAAACTTTCTTTCAAGAACTTTTGGTAGTTTAAATAACATAAAATGTTATTAAAGTTCAACCCTCCAAAAAGCTGCTTTATGTTCTCTCCTTAGCTAATTGGTCAGTAACATCCAATAGCCACTCATAGCTCGCAAGCTCAATTTCAAACATACAAACTGCCAATTACAGCATATTTTAATTTTTCCTTTTTCTTTTCTCTCTCTTCTATTCTTTTTTCGATAAACTCTGTCATTTGCCGTATTCTCCCCCTCCTTGTCTTTTATACTTCGTCTAGTTCACATTCAAGCTGCAATAAGCTTATTGCTGACCAAACGGAAATTATGAATTAGACTGCTCTCTTCATAACATGTTAAGTGAGAAAAAAAAAGATTGCAGATTTCTAATCATTCTATACAACTGATGTCCAATAAGGAAGTGACATTTTATGATGAGGGCGAGATAGAGGGAGGAAAACCGATTCTGCAATACTTACTTGACAACTAGGCCGACGATCACTGCCACCACTAGCTTTTTGAATTCGTTTTTGTTCTTTTTTCAACAGACGAAGTCGTAATCGTTTTTCAAGCCATCTACAAAGACATTTTAATTTCTTCTTTCATCATCATATAACAAAAAAACCTTTTCTTTCCAAAATAGGCTAAAGAGTTGGTAGCGGAGTTCAGGACAATCATGAAATCCGAAACACGGACCAAAATGGATAAAAATACACCAAAAGATTCAATTCCATATAAATTTTCATAAACATCAAAGAAAACCGGCATTGATCTGGAATTACATGTATGTAGATGATTATAATGATGTGAACTTGTCTACCGAAGTATGAGAAATTTGATTGCTATGAATATAGCGACGGTTCTTGAGACTCTCTCTTTCAATTCTTCTGACAAGACGACGGAACGACTTCGCTGTTGACTTTCGAATAACCTTTAAGAGACAATTTTGCGTTTTTGAGATGTAAAAAGAGAATGTTTACTTTCTTCTGGCTTTTAAGCTGATGTGAACTCGGTATTCCGTCATTAACGTCAAAATAAGAATTGTAGCTACTGGACCGACCGTCTGAGTCAACGTCATTAGGACAGCTTTATATCTTGTAAACTGAAATAGAAGATTGTGATTATTGGTATTTCCCTAATGTGATCTATGCTCGTGTTTTCTGCAGCATTATTGCTCTATCACACTCTACAGCAGTATCTCATTTAAGTTCTTATTTCCTTTTCAGTGGCAAATTGTCAAGAACTAAAACTAACCGAAGAGCGAAAGACCGTTGGTGCAGGACAAGAAGCTTCTTCATTTTGCTCCACATCAAAGCATTTATCAACGGTAAATTCAAAATAAACAGGAATATTAACGGCAAAACTAAAGAGAATAACAAGTCCTAAAATAGAATATTTTGTGTGATGTGATGAACATTATATTTGAGAAAGTAATTACCTGGAAGTAGGTAAGGCTTCAGCACTTTCTTGATTTCAATTGGATGTTTGGTAGATATACGTGAATATGAGCGAATTGTAATCATGGGTGGTGTGAGATCTTCCTGTGTCGAACATGATTTTCTCTGTTTTCCACTCGTAAAACCCTGAGAAACAATGAAAATATTAAATGATATATGTATAGAGAGAAAAGGAAGAAAAAAAAACGAATTTTCTTTTAATTTCCAATAGAATACGTATAAGGAAATAGAAATGTATTGTGGTTGTTATTACCGTTTTGTGTCCGCGTGAAGAGTACTGTCGTGCATATCGTAATGGCCTCATAACTACCATGAAACGAAGAAATGTGATGTAGATGACGAGCATTGTCTAAATAATTATAGAGAAATCAGTAAAATAGATCTATATAATTGTATGATATTACAGATGATGTTGTTAAGCTGCTCGCTACACCATGTAAGCTGCTTGTAAAAGCTTGATGTTGATACATAATATTTGATCCTGTTAGTAAGACTCCTATTGCTTCTATACAATAAAAGAGAACGACGGTTATCATAAGCATAACATCAATCAAACATAATGAGAATAATGCTGAAAATATATATTTGTAAGTAACATTTAAATTTTGAAAATTGAATTACCAGCCGTTAAATCTTTATTAAGACCGGCTCTGTTCAAGAATCGAACAGCGAAATGAGCTCCAATTAAGGATAATAAGGCAGCTATACATGTGCAAGGACCCTTGAAAAATAGTTTTGTTAAGTATGCTTACATATTTCATAAATGAACTTACATCTATCCATAAGGCAATTGATGTTATGCTATCTGAAGACGAATAACGATAAGTACAATTTCTCATCGTCGTATTGTCCATCAACCTGAAACAACAAAAATGTTGTTTGAGAGTCTTGTAATTTTTGAAAATATGGAGAGAAGTGAATAGTCTGATAGAAATTGATCACATGTTTCTGACAACTCCCTCCCTCCCTCTTTTCTGCTTTCATTTCTCTCGTTCTCTCATTCTCTTACGACATGAGCACATTTACGTATATCTTTTTCGATCCTCTAGTTTGCTCAATTGATCTTTAAGACCTGAGTTGGGTAAAAAAAATTTTTAGTAGTCAAAGATGCTCATGAAAACTTAATGGAATTTGAGCTTGGTCAAAATACAGAATTGAACAGAAAATCAGTAAGAGAAAAAAAGAGGAAGTGAGAGAGAGAGAGATGAGAGAGAGATAAATGAGAAGAGATGTGAATGAGATAGTAAGTAAGATGACTCTGAAGGAAGAGAGTATTGCACATTCATGAGATCTGGCTAGCTAAGAGCGAGATAGGAAGCAAGAAACATCCAAAATCGAAAGAGAGAGGTATTCGCCCAAATATTATTGGAATGTGTTATCACGAATGAACAATGTGCACGATGAATTTCAATTCGTTTAACTTTTAAAAAGAAAAAGACAAAAGATTTTTGATCGTTCATGTAGACGTTTACTTAAAGCATTCTTAACTTCAAATTCAATTTTGGACATGAAAATTCGAAAAGACTAATTGAACGAATTAGTTGATAAAAAAATTTTTTTGTCTGTGTGTACGTGTGTAGCTTTCTTTCCTCAACACACTTAGATCAGGAGAGATGAAAACGAAATATTTTTTTAGTCAAAAGTGCTTCAGATGAGTATGATGAAGTGAGAGATGAGAGTTATGAAATGATCCTTAGAAGGAAGTCTTTCTATTCAGAAGTAGAAGTAGAAATAGTTTGGGAAATGAAATAAGGAGGGTGAATATAGAGAGAGAGAGAGAGAGAGATGAAGAGGGAGTTAAAGAGAGATAGACTAAATGGCTAAAGGACAAAGATAAAATATGTATAGAAAGCTTTTTTTTTTCTTTGATAAACAAATTTGCGGAAAAAACGATTTGTCATCCGACTGCAACATATTGTCTTTAAATTATAATTTTGTTTTGTTTTATACATAAGAATTTTAGAAAATCTGTCATTTTGAAACGGAATGTTGTTCGAAAAGGAAACAAGAAGAGATAGATGAACTAAGAGGGAGATGTGGGGGAGGTAAAGTCTAACAAAGAGAGAGATAGATAGTTGAAGACAAAGACATAGAGAGAAAGGAAAAGCCACAAAAAAAGAAGATGCTTATGGCAGGAGAAGAAGTCTTTGACCCCAACCAAAAAGTTCTTTTAAGTAAGTTGAAAGAAACTAATTCTCATCTGTCAGTGAGGTTTCTTTCTCATTGGTTCTCGTACTCGTTGAAACAACGGATGAAACCAATTACAATGAACTTCTAAGGTGCATACGAAAAGCTCTGGAGAGAATAGAAAGATCAAAGTTGACTTGTTATTGCAGAAGCATAAATCGATGATATAAATAACTTTTGAAGAAGTAAAACAAAAGGACCGGAAAATCATTTGTCTCAAATAAAACGGTAAATAATATATATTTTGAGTAAGCAGAGTAGGAGAGACAGATTATGAGATAAAAAAAGAGAGAGAGAGAGAAAGAATTTTCTAATAACTAGAGGTTTCATTCCTTCTCTTTATGTCATTTAGCTTCTCTTAACTCTCGCTTTATACCTGCATAATCGACAACCTCATCATTGTATATCCTTCCATCACTGTTCTCTCATTGAATGCCTATTCTCCTTCAATTCTCGTTTCCTCCCTCCTTCCTCACAGGTTTGCTCTCTTTTCCACTCTCTTTATGTATGAATTGCTCTCTTCATTCTATTAATTTATGAAAATGAGAGTGATACAACGGCAAAAAAAGTAAAACAAGAACGGAAATAGTTCCTTCCATTGTTGGTGAGGGTATCTTCTAAGCTCCAATAACATTTGATCACTTGAATATAAGGCTTCACAACAATCTGTCAACGAATAATTGAAGGTGACAAATTCCTTTTTTCATTTTTATTTCAAAAATATCTTCTCTACCCCTTCCCTGATTATACACTTAGATATAATATATAATTTAGTTTTCATCAAAAAATAATCCATTAGAGGCATTTGTTTTCCAATCATCCATGAATTTTTGCAAAAAAAAAAGAAGAAGGGAGAAAGTTCAACAGAATATTCAAATATTCCATATCTCCACGTGGTTAGTCAAAGCATAATCATTTATGTTCTCAAAAGGTTTATGAAGCGGTTGCATTCTCGGAATACTCTTAATCATCTTTTCCGGCAAGCTCACACTTCTTGTCTATCTATCCGATCATCTTTCATATAATTCTCTTTATCATGCATCTTTTTATCTAACTCCCTCCCTCTTTCTTCC